CAACTCCCACCCCAACACCCACCACAACATATCTCTCAAATACCAGTATCGACGCCAATGTCGACTCTACCACATATGGCACCACCAATGCCTCAATCGTCACCTCCGATGACATCTCAAGTGCCACAACTCTCACCAATTAATCAGTTCGCACCGCAAACCCGTGAGTCACTGTTATTGCAATTGATGCCCATTAGAGTACATTAGCTGTAGTGCCTGTCACTTGTATTGCATTGAATGACACTTTGCTTATTATAAACTCCTTTTTCTCTCTTCTTGTGCACCACTACTGCCGCCACTAAAGGATAGAACAGAACTCACGCTTCGATTCGGTCGTGACTTTTGCTGCGGTCTTACGATCTCTGCTTTGATTGCATTTCATTCTATACTTTACTTAACATAACATTGCATTTGATTTTGCAATAACCATTACTTACTTATACTTGCATTGCATTGACAGCGATCGGCGTACAGCCGGGACCACAACAGGGACAGCTGATGCCTGTGATGGCCGACCAAAACACACTTATGGCACCACAACATGTACCGCAAGCACAGCCAGTGCCACCGCCCCACTCCCTACCACCCCATCCCAGTCCTATGACACATCCAATGCCGCCCAATGCGGTTCCACCACAACCACCAACTGGTCAGTCATTCAACTCAGTATACCTGTCGTCGTATTAATTGTATTGTGTTTCAGGTGTTTGTGAACCTAATAGAGAGGAAACTCCAAACATGTAAACCAAGCGTTGGCTTCAAATTTGATATTTCCTTCATTTCTCAATAATTTATTATTTAATACAACTGTTTATAATTGAATGACCGGTACTTTTAGTTAATTTCGTTGTCACTTAAATTTATTCATAAATAAATCATTCTTTACTTCTAAACAAACACTTCATTGGTTTGTCTGTCTGTCTGTCTATCAAATTATTGACAATTAATTCCAAATTAATTGCAAAACACTTCTATTATAATTAGAATTATATTTTTTATTTACTGTATATTTCACTAAAATATGCTTTTATTTAAATAATTTTCTTATTTTTGAGTGCAAAAGCAATAAATAGTTTTTCAAACAAATGTATGATTTGATTGCATCAAAAAGCTTATGATTAGAAATATTGCACTTCACAGCTATCAGTGTATGTCCAGCACTGGTATAAACCGACCCCAACGGACAGTTACATAACATCCAAACATCTCAACCATCGTTACATAAAAGTGCAGTCAATGCTATACACTATATAGCTATACGTCTGTGTAGTACTGTATAGTGAGTACAGTGTTGTGGACATAGACTGCGACGCACTGTATGTCTGCAGTCAATGACTGGAGTCTGCAATGAATGCAATGAACGAGTGGTGCAGTGACTGTCACTGTGGTTGGACTCAGTAGTGGTGACCTACGATGACATCCACATCAACCCGTTGTCACACCATCTCAGTGGCCAACAAAGCACTCACTAACAGTCAAAAGCGCTTTCAAAGTATGCATTTGAATAGAAGTGCCAAAAGTCATAACAACAACACCAATGGAGTGAGTATTGGAGTATTGGGTCCAATGGTGACAATCAGTCATCACTTCATGGCATGCCTTTCATGACAATCCTCTCACTGTGTAATGTGTGATGTGTTGCTAATTGTAATCGTATTGGATATATGAATGTATTGATTGGTTGTGTATGTATTGATTGATATGGCAGTGAATGTATGGTTTGTTTGTTATGAAAAACAGCTGATATTAAAGGGACGCATAGACTGTATGTATGACTGTATGATAGGCTATTGAATGCATTTGCATGAAGTAGTGTTGCATTGTATGTGTGGTCGCAGTGTATGTGTTGCCTATACTTAGGTGTTGCGTGGAGTACAGTGTGTACAGTGTGTTCATGAATGCTTTGTCGTTTGGTGAGTGAGGGCTCAGTTTGGCATCGATTGCAGTGATTGTTGTGTTCAGTGAATGACTGAATGGCTAATAGATGTGATGTATGTCTAAGACAAAGACATGTCTGTCATATGAGTTGTGGTCACCTGTCATGACAAACACCAACAATACGATGAAATGTGTCACTTGTCTCACATCTGCGTCTAAATCTAAGAAATCCAAGGTTTATAACTCAATCACTACTGTATTGCCGTAACTGTCATATAGTGGTCACAAATACCTTCAATAGTCTGCTGATCATTGTCTCTCAAGACTTGGTTATCACTTGTGATTGTTTCAAATGAATGTCAAATCCAATGCAAACTATTACTGCTATCATATAAACCAAATTCATTTCAATCAAATCAATGCTAATAACAAAATGCCTCAACGGTTAGGCTGTTCTGTACGTCCATTCATGTGATCATCTTTTATATCACTTACTCTTAGACTATCACCCAAAAGGTCAAGCCTATCCTCACCACAACCTTCCCATCTCTTCATTGTCTCATTTGCTATACTTTTACTAAAACAATGCATTTACTAATCATATGAATTGTCTTCATTGATAACTTTCTCTGGATCTAATGAATAGCATCTAATGAATGAATGCAACTATAGTTCACTTTCATATTAATAAGCTTTTTATATATGCTTTCCCTTTAAATATGCTTTTTATGGTAATAAATGAGTTGAGAGTTTAAATGTCATTTGTGTCCATAAAGTATGCCCACAATAGAGAAGGTCTTCCCGGGGGAGGGGAGGGACAGAGGGGGTAATGAATTGGTGATTAATTTTAATGGACAACTGTTTGGTCTCTGCGAACAGATATTCAAAGTGAACGTCAATATAGAGGACGAGTCGCTGATAAACAAGAAGTTGCCGAAAGAGCTGCTGCTGAGGATCTTCTCGTACTTGGATGTGGTCTCTCTGTGCCGTTGCGCTCAAGTGTCGAAGGTTTCACTGAATGCATGAATATTGTGATGATATGTCAAGTGTTTGATAACTTTGATGCCATTCCTGTGGACTGTTGTAGAGTTGGAATGTTCTGGCATTGGATGGAAGCAATTGGCAAAGAGTGGACTTATTTGACTTCCAGACAGATATCGAGGGACCGGTAGTGGAGAATATATCGCGCCGTTGCGGCGGTTTTCTCAAGCGATTGAGTCTTAGAGGCTGTAAGAGTGTGACGGACGCCGCTCTTCGGACTTTCGCTCAAAACTGCAATAACATCGAAGAACTCAATCTGAATGACTGCAAGAAGTTAACGGATATGTAATGACACCATAGATATGCCGTTTTTGGTGAATCGCTTCTTCTCAATGGCTGTCTCTATGTCTCTATTTGCAGAACCTGTCAGAACCTGAGCGTCCAGTGCTCGAAGTTATTGCACTTAAATCTGGGCTCTTGTAGTGAAATCACTGATCTCTCACTCAAATCACTCGGGTATGGATGCCATGAATGAGATTGTGTTTGATTGACAGTAAGAACTAATGAATGCCTGCCTTTCCTATACTGTATGTCTATATGTCGGGTGCGGGTGCAGTGAGGGGTGTGTGAGTCTGGAGCGCATAAACCTATCCTGGTGCGAACAGGTGACCAAACATGGGATCCAAGAGCTGGCGAGCGGGTGCGCCAAACTCAGTGCCTTCATTAGCAAAATGTGTCCTCAGGTTAACGACGAGGCAGTGATAGCATTGGCCAACGGTTGCCATAATCTACAAGTGCTTAACCTTCACGGCTGTTCGGCCATCAGTGATGACAGCATGCAGAGGATCGCACAGAACTGTCCAAATATGCATTACTTATGTGTTTCCAATTGTTCTAATCTAACCGATGCCTCATTGATAGCGTTAGGACAGGGATGTCATTCGCTTAAGACACTCGAAGTCTCGGGTTGTACTCAATTCACTGACACTGGGTTTCAGTCTTTGACGCGAAATTGTCACGCAATCGAAAAGCTAGATCTCGAGGAATGTGTTCTCATCACAGATTCGACTCTTTCTTACTTATCGGTCGGCTGTCCTCTACTCGAGAAATTGGTTTGCATTTCATTGCCTCACATACTCTCACAAAACTAATTGCTTTTCACTCATTTAGAGCCTCTCTCATTGCGAACTCATTACAGATGAGGGCATCAGGCATTTAGGCACCAGTGCCTGCTCTTCACAACACCTCTCTGTTCTTGAATTAGACAACTGTCCCCTAATCACAGACACATCACTCGATCATCTAATTACTTGTCATAGTTTGCAACGAATTGAGTTATACGACTGTCAACTCATCACCAGAGCTGGCATTAGAAGATTAAGAGTTTGTT